AAAAAAAAAAAAAACAAGCTGTTGGCACTATTTACCCTTTACTGCCCCACTTTGTCGAGATTTGGCTGGATTTCTATTCAATTTTTCCCAAGATGATGAAACCGACTAGAAACTTACCTAGAGGGGTAATTTGACCCGTAGAACACGAATATCGCATCCACTCGTCATAAAGATGCCTAGCGCTCTGCCTAGCCACAGGCACCGGCGTCAACTGGAGCTGGGTCACACATCTTGCTGAAAACTTGCCCCTAAGTAGTGTGCCAGGCGTTTTCTTGACGAATGGATGCGATATTCGTGTTCTACAGGTCAAATTACCCCTCTAGGCGACTTTCTGGTCGGTTTCATCTCCTTGTAAAAATTCGATAGGAATCCACCCATTCTCGAAAAAGTGGGCAGTAAAGGGCAAATAGTGTCCGAGCTGTTTTTCCAGGATGGGACCCAGGCACTTGTACATAGAAGGTAGTGGCAATCAGTAATGTAGGATTAATCCGCAAGTAACTACACAGATTTTTCTTCATATTGAAAATTGATTCGAATCGGACACACGCTATGCATTACCATGCTGCAAAAGTTGCCAGCTTGGTGTTATTGATTATAGGCAAAAAATAAGACAAAGTGCAACTGTGAGCGCTCTTGAAGTTATTTCATATTCATTAGGGTAAAATAACTTGCCGTGTGTAAGTCGAATCTCCTCGTGCAAGTAATTCATTTCACGAATTTTTTCTCCGTGTATCTTATGGTCGGGATCGCAATTCTGAAGTTGGATCAACGCGATTTCTTCCTTGGAACTCAAATCAGCTAGAATGGATTATAGTAATCTCAACATCTGAACAAGAAAAGTATGGAACTAGCTTAGGATGTTGATCTCCTTTACTACTAAATAAATAGCAGTCTAAATTTCACTACTCATCGTTACGCTCGTACGACTTTTTTCCTTCCCACAATGAATACACCTTTTGGGAGTACCCTTTCAATATCATGCAACGCAGTGCCAAGACTTCGACAATAAGAGGAAGAACGCGATGGTTTACATTTGAAACTGTACAGGAGAGGATCGGCAGATGGCTACCAACAATGCGCGACCCACCTTCATCACCATCTTCTTCATCGGCACGATCCGTCCTTGCAGATAATAGGATTTTCATGAGATCAGCGTACGTACTGTACTGCGGATCTGCGCAGCGTATTGCCATGATTACATCCGTAAGGCTCACACGATTTGTTCCTAATAATAAAGTATTTAAGAAAGTTAGCTAGAGTATAAGGTTATTACATTACAACGGCTTTTATAGAAATTAACCAATTTTGAATTGACCATCAATAACGAAAACTCGCCTCTGACTTCTTTAATAGGCAGAAGTTCCTAAAGAACAAAATTTAGGAAACTAGAACGTAAAGAGTTTTTGCAACATTACTTTTTAGTCAGGAAGTACCTGAAAAGCGGTGAAAAATTGTAAAATGACGAGATATTCGGAGAATTCATCATCACTCAGCCAACTTGGAAGAGATAAAGCCGGGAAAACTGGGAAAGCCTGAAAAGCAAAACCAATACATAACTTCTAAAATCAAAAAAGGAATTTCAAACGACATCGCATTCCTGCAAACCATTCAATGTATTGGGGGGAATCGGAGGCACATTCGGGCATGGGACAGTTGAATAGAAACGGCCGCTTTGCGGCGAGAGCGACGTCGCGCACGAAGGAATGTGGCAAAGTGAAGCGGAGTGAGAAATACGGAAGCAAAAAAATCACAGTACAACCATGCGATAAATAATAATGGCATTTCGATTGAGCTGTATGAAGAATGCTACATTTGCAATAACGAAACAACTAGTCGGCGACTGCCGCACGCGACGAGTTGATTAAACAATACCGATCCAACTGCTCGTCTCCCCTTTTTCAGAGCAGTGTTCTGTTCACCGTAGCTATTCTGCCGGGCACCTCTACACAACAATTTAGAAGTTTTCGCTTGAAAATAACCGGACCTTCAGATCATCGCAATCCAAATCGTCTCTTTTCTTCTGCCACTCATGCTTCGCCTTCATTTTCATTCTCTTTGCTTCACGCGCGAGTTCTCTCTCCTGAACGTCTATGTTACTACATCTGACGACCCGACTTGAAATCTGGATTGGTTCAATACCTGAGTCCTCGAAGACTTGATGAGAAGCTTTAGTTCTGCAATCTCGTTGGTGGTCAGCAAACGTGTTTTCTGCTCATACTTTGTCAAATCAACTCCAAACCTGCGAGCCTTCTCGAAGATCGAAGACAGCTCCTCTTGTTGTAACCCTATCTGTCAACAATTAAACATATCAGGCTGTTCTTGTATATATCGTTCGAATTAAGATTTTATGCCTTTCCATTGGTGGTGAGCTTATATTAGGTCAACGTTTCGGCTGCACTGCCTTCTTTTAAAGTCTGAAATGATGAGCTACTGTGCTTTTGACGTTTGAGCCTCATTAGTTCTTGATTGCCACGGGCTTTGGCGAAGGCTAGGACCAAGAAAACTGTCCCAATAAAGACTCCCTACCTTGGAAAGGCTCCAAAATCGAAACTCAAACGACATCCACTATGCTAAAATTGGTAGAAAGAACCATAAACTCTGTCAGTACATGGTTGGGGATATGCAACGAAACCATAAAAAACACCTGATTTTTCTTCTTCTCAGTTAGCCCTTTGGTTGTTTCGGACTTTCTTCCTTGTGATTTTACCTCTTTCGTCGAGGGTTTTTTCGGAGTTTCACTAGTACCTTAAATTTAACACTAAGTAATGATTAGTGTGTATGAAAAAAAGCACTTTTTTTACATTCAAGACTTAGAGAATGAGGCTGTGCTGATGGTGTTGACAACGATGCAGTCGCCGATTTTGGTTGACGTCCTCGTTGCAACATTGGAGTTCGGGGGAAATACGGAAGTGGACCACCGCATATTGAACTCCATGTCAGTGCGTCGATTTCACTAATAAATTTCTCCTTAACAAGATCACGGATCGCTCTCTAGGAAAGCAAGTAATCCAAAAAATGTAGTACACATGAACCGAATAAAAAAATGAAAGCAAAAATGGTACAATGAAAATGCGGAACTGGTTCGAAATCTGATCTATGTGTATCAGGAAGCATTAATAGCGGCCCGCGTGCCAAGCTTGGCCGCCGCGTAAGTCGACCTCATGTTGTCTTATTCCTAGCGCGAATGCCTTAAAGCTTCATCAGGGAAGCACCATGGAACTTTTAATGGAGGTTCAGGTATGTCTTTAGAGAAAAAGTAAAAAATTATGGGCGATCAAAGATTGCTTTAATATAATTTTAGTTGAAAAATTTAATCGCCGCTTCGATATGAGCGTCAACGCGGCGCAGTGGCAGTATTCTTCCTCTGCATCCGAAAGATGCGGGTTTGGTCCCCAACACCACCGGAACTTTTGCATAGTGTACCTCTGTTCCATTAGAGATTCCAGACCGTTCTGACCTCACTTCAACGTGAGCGTCTTTCTTCGGCTACCATTTACGCTTGTCGCACGTAAGTGGGACAAGGGGTGCTAGATTTCACAACGATACAGTTCCACGATGAAATCAGATCATGCCAACCCCGCACAATACCTTACGATACTCTAATAATGAATGCTTATCGAAGGACAGATACTTATCGAAGGACCTTCCTAAAAAAACTGAATAGTGCTCAACTTACTTTGATGTCATATCTTTCATTACGAACCAAACAAGAGTTCTTCAAATATAGTTTCAACTTCGGCTTGGAAGCAACGCTCCTAGCGCGACTGAAATTCAGATCACTGCATATTCTAGCTTTCGAAAACGTCTAAGACAGCTGTTACGCAGTCCATATTTCAAAACTAAGCAATAGAAAACAACAAGAGCGAATAAAACGAACTGCAAAGAGGTGTGGGGAATGAGTAGGTTGTCGAAGGTATCGTTCCCAGGCGATGAGTCCGGCGGTGGATACAGAGGGTTACCCTCCAGGAATTTTACTGAATAACGGAACGTATCTGGGGGTGGAACTTGTGGCTCCTTCCCACTGCTGAAACAAACAGTAGTAGATGTCAAAGGCAAAAAAGAGGTAACATAAAGTTATAAGCAATAACGCCAAAGTTCATATTAACTTACACATTTTCAGGCTGCCAATCCTTCACAACAGTAACACCGGTGATCCTCACAGGTATCCTAAGATTACCATCAATATATGAACACTCCTCGCCAACAAAATACCGGTCCTAAAAACTTCCTATTTTGAAAATTCTCAGCATCTTCATTCTTCTGGACGTCCCATAAAGTATTTAAACAAACCTTCATGAACAAGGACACATCATTGAGAAGATCCTCGAAACGACCTCGACACAGGTGTTTCCTGACAAGGTAAAGAACTGACTGCTCTAATTGTGGAGGAAAATTACCAAGCGCTCTCTGAAACAACAGATTTCAATAGAAATTTCTTCCCGTCACTGTGGCGTATCCGTCATCGAACGAACCAGCAGCAATCAATTATATTTAGTGTGGCAAGTTGCCCCACCCCGTTCTACTCTGCTGGGTGTCACTGTGCCTTCCTCTGACAAAGACATTATTGTAGCTGCTGGGCTATTTAAACCGCATTGAGCGAATCATCGTGTGTGGATGCTTACGACCGATGGGCGAGGTCGCTTTATACGGAATGGATGATAGAAACAACAAGGAAGCGAGCACTTATGAGAGCAAAGTTGCTCCAACGGCAAACCACCAAGTAATCAATGAAGAAGCTGTAATTAGTTGAAATGCTGAAGAGAGAAAGCTTAGCAGCCTTTTTGGTTGCCTTAAACAGCATGGATCGCATGGGTTATCGACGACGTGATATATCGATCAAAGGCGCAGTCAGTTGCGCATCAGCTGAATTTCCGGCGCTCAGCCACAATCAAGTATGAACGCGCGCGCCATCTCGAGTTAAGACGCAAGTTCCACAAGTCAGAGCTTGATTCAGGACAGCCAGTTAAGCAATAGTGATTGCACTGCACTTAGCGCAATTGGACGGAATGGAAGTGGAACTGAAAGGTGGTCAAGTGATGACAATTAGTGTGGGACAACAGCGA